AACACTGCCGGGTCTTCAGCATGTTAATAACTAGGCAACGCGGTTTTCACCCAAGTTGCTGGGAAGGGGTAATTACTGAAAGGACTTGCTTACCACAGAGTCAAAATTCTGGTGTTTAGCCACAGCCGCCAAACTAGCAACTCTTAATTATTGGAGAGGCCAAGCAAACGTGTGAGTACCTCGCTCTGCACAATTGCGGCACAATTAGCATCAAACAGGGTAACTTCGCATTGTAACGGTGACAAGAAAACGATGAGGTGGTCGAAGAAAAAGCCGGAGAACGACGACTGCTGCTGTGTGGACCTTAGCACGCAGCTCGTTGACAAGCTAGCTCAGGAGCTAGCTGTATGTATACCAACTACCGTTAGCTCGTAGCCACCGAGCTACCGCTAGCTCGACAGGGTGACCACCTTGAACCTTGGAGAAAAATAGACCACAAAAAAGCTGTGGGGTCCTTTCTTGACAGGCACCACTTCAACGCGACTTGAGTCTGTGCGGCTTCCGAATGGAGACAGTGTTGCAAAAGTTCCCCAAAGACTAACCGGGCCGGTTAAAATCAGTTTGTAGTCCAGTGGAAATCCGGAATGAAACTGCGAGCCGCCATCGCCGCCTTGCCGTCACTTCCGCGACCAGCTTGGTTGCGCGCAGCACGTCCACGTGGAAAGAAAACAAACCTACGAGGACGAGCATGTCAGCTAAAACCTTCAAATTAACACCTTTTAGTTTGCTCTTTAGCTCTTCAGCTGTACTCTTACATAAATACTTATGGGGAGTTTTACGTAAACATAACTCTTGCTGAGAAAGCCGTGTGACTTGGTGGTAATGGACGGGCCTGTATATTTTTAAGAGGAAATGTAATGATTTATTGGAGCATTGTGTATCTTGTATAACGACAATATCAAACCAAACTGAAATGAATGTGTGACTGTATTTGACAGCTGTCAGTAAATCACGGACTTGGTAATTGTAATTCAATGCTAAAAAGTTGCTTGAATCAAATTTCTGTAAACTATCATACTATTAAATCTGACACTGCAATTGGCATCGGTGTTCATGTCGAACTGTCGCTCAAAACTAATTATTTAGTGCCATCAGACCTACCTGCTGACATCATCTATAAATCAGTATACATTTTCAACTTCTTTGGACTGCTCCACCACAGTGGATCAGCTCACCCCCTCCCTAGCTTCTCCTCTGTTGCAGCAGCCCTCTGCACATCCTCCTTTGTGACATCCATGAACTTCCTCTGTGGCCTTCCTCTTTCCCTCCTGCCAGGCAGCTCCAACTTCAAAATCCTTTATCCAATGTATCAACTATCCTTCCTCTGTACATGTCCAAACCATATCAGCCTTCGTTTCCAAACTGCTCAGCCTGAGCTGTTCCTCTGATGTACTAATTTCTAGTCCTGTCCATTGTGGCCACTCCTAATAAGAATCTTAATATCTTCAGCTCTGCCACCACCTGTCTTTTTGTCAGTGCCACTGTCTCCAAACCATACACTGTGGCAGGTCTGAGTACCACCTTGTAAACCTTCCCTTTCACAAATCATATTTTAAACATATATTGATTATAACTCAACCTCAAAAGCTCATAAATTTAAAAAAGTATTTAAGTATTGTACCCAAAAGAGCAACTGGTTTGAGATCATTTTTGCCAATGAGACAATATATATCCGGGACATTTTCTGGTTGTGAGCAGCATTTGATTTAATTCCTACTATAGGATGTGGCAGATGAACAGATATCCAGGATTTTTAAGATGCACACAAGTAATAAATACTGTTTTGTGTAAGAGAAACCTGTTTGTTTGTTTTTTTGGTCTTTAAGCACTTGTGAACTGTCATTTATTTTTGTCCCAGTCACTGCAATAAATCATAGTGCAGAAAAAAAAACAGTCATTTCAGTGCAAAAGTCACAAAATCAAAAATCAATTATTTTGTAAATAACCAACCAGAAAAAAATAAATAATTTATCCACAAACAACAACATTAAGTTTATATTTTTAGAAAAAGTGAAATGATAACGTCTCGTACATATCCAACAGATAACACACATGAAATAAGTTTAAAGCATTGAAAGCTTTTCAGTCCTTCAATGGCAAAAAAAGCAGATGAAACGTGGATCTTCAGCAGATTTTCCTGCCTTAAATCTAAACATCAAGATCATCATCAGGGTCCTCCTGGTCGTAGTCATCGTTGGCATCGGGTTCATACAGAATTCGACCGGAACCTGGGCCCGATTGCAGCAGAGCGGTTTTCCTGCAAGATTAAAAGAGAACTGTATCTTTAGGTTGTTTGTTAAAAAAAGTTTTAAAAAGAAAGAAAGAAAATCAACATATATTAGATGTGGTCACTGAAAAAAAGTCTGACTTCTCTTTGCTGAAGACAAAGGGAAGAGCAAGTTTCTCCTTGGCCTCGCGCTCTGTGTCAGACAGGCGAATGTTGAAGGTCAAGTTAGCTGTTGGGTCCATCTACAAGACACAAAAAGGACACTTACGTCATAACAGGTTTGCTTATTTATCCATATAATGTGTGAAGCTGTTGTACACATGTTACGCTGTACCTGCTGTTCCTCTGGTTCAGTCTGTCTGCGTCCAGCATGGCTGGTTTTACTCACTACAGTAACTGAGAAATCCCCTTTGATGCTGAATATCTCCTCCTAATGACAAAAATCAGAACAATAAATATTTCATAAAAGTTGTAGGAATTTAAAATAGTAATTAAAGTTCAAGCTCTTCTTACATCTTGCGTAACTTTCCCCAACTTTGATCGCTTTGTTATTTTTGCCACCGCTTCATCTCCCTTCGTTCCAGGTGCCACTGTGATAACTGAAGTAGCTAAGTGGCAGACGCTTCCCACAGTACCCCTCTGGTGCATATCTGCGTGGAGCAGACCAATAACAGCTCTCACGGCTCCCCCTAATGAAAACAGAACGTAATCGTTAAACAGGGGAAGTGCTGCACAGCCTACTAAAAATAAGCCACCCGTGAAGGACCGTGAACACAGAGAGCCTTTTATCCATAATATGCTTTTGAAAGAAAGATAACCACTTAATAGATTTTTGGGGGTGAAGCCAAGACGAGCATCTTTTCTGCGTTACGTTTTGTTTTGTATCGCTGCAGATCGCACAACAGAAATGCTGATGCGATCCGATTTGTGGTCAATTAGGCTCAGGGAAAGATGGGTAAAAGGTCAAAGCATTAAAAGCATGCTCAGATGCTGGGAGTCAGACCTCCTCCCATTCTGTAAAATTACTGAATACATGGGCCTTAAATCACACACACAGAGACACAGAAGATACATTATCACCTTTCTTAAGCTGCTGAAGAGTCTTGCAGACAGCAGGTGGACTCATGTGTCTCAATATCCATGACAGCGAGTCGATTACTAAAGTCACTGGTTTGGGGTGTGATGTTTGTTTGAGCAGATGAGTGAGTTCCTCCACACAAAACTGGTGAACTGTAAAAGCCGACCGATTAGTCCACCCAAGGGGGTCCGTATAAGCACTGTGAAAGTGCAACCTGAAGTAAAAGAAGCACAAGATGAACGTTTGATTCCATGTTAAAGATCCAGAAATGGTGTCAGCGGAAGGAAGGCTGTCAAGAAGCTATTGTTAAGGAAACAGTGAGAAAGGGCTGAGGTATGCCAGATTACACAAGACCTTGGCTGAAAATCAGTGAAAACAGGTCTGATAGAGTTATGAATCCACATTTGGACTTCCACATTACTGAAGCAGTGTGGGACCATCTCAACAGCAAACACAACAAAATCTAAAGAAGACCTTTGAATGTCCTTCCTAAATACTTAAAGAAATTGCAAGAAAGCTGCATGAGAAAGTTCAGGCTGTGTTGAAAAATTAAAATTGACTGAAATTTTAAAACATCAACTTTAAAGAATTTTGAAAACTCAGTTTTTGCCCTGAGAAGGCAGGGACCGAGGCCTTCTGAGGAAGAAAATAGTCTGCTGTAATAGAATCTGCCATGTGCACCAAATACATCAAGTATTTCCTTGTGTATCATGTTTCCATTTAGCTGTCCAATGTGTGGGTCTTTGGTTAGTCTATATATGGTATATGGCCATTAGAAAAAACACATTACACACTCCTTTAATGGAGTAACAATGGTTCACACTGGAAAAAATTGAAAGCAGGTACTGTTATGCATTTCGCTTGGTAGATGAAGTAAACTTTTAAGCAAAATCACATCATTTGTTGTTGATCAAATAACTGTTTCAGCATTAAAGTTCAATACCTCTGAGTAGATGCTGTTAATCCATCTTTCAGTTCTTCCTCACTGACATCAAAACCAAGCACGTGGACAGGTTCTTCTCTAAAATCATAGCACAGGCCAGTTACTGTTTAAGCCAATACACAACTTAGACATATTTTAGGCAACAATAGGTATACAAGGAAACACGGTTACATACTTGTTCAATGCGGCACTGATGAAGCTCTTAAGTAGGTGCTGCCCAGAATAACTACAAGAATCTATGAAAGTATAAATTACATCAATTAATGTCATCATTATTGATAACAATGTATACTTATGGTCGACAACGTTCACATATTTACCTTGTATTATAAGAACCGCCCCAGTATCAGTGCCTTGCAATAGTTCAGACAACATGGTAGCATCAGCTAGTTAGCTTGCCTCTGCTTCACCGCCATTTAAAACATGAATACTTAAGAAAACATGAGTAATTTGCCTTCACGAGAACGACATAGCTTAAAGCTAACAATTATAAGTACCTAAAGTCGCTACAAGTAATGTTTCGCAGGAAAATAAAGCTTTCCCTGTCCAGTGAAAGTACAGCAGATTTCGCTAGCTACTATGTTTGGGGTGGTTAGAGTAAATAAAAAAAACTTCGTATCCCATAGTTCCCTGTGACTTCAATCGTCTTCATGAAGGAAAATGTAGTTTATTAAACGTTTACGCCCGTAAACGCGTTTGGTGAAAGGCTGAAAACTAAACTACGTTACCCAGCATACACTGCAGCACACCCTTCGCTGGCAGCCTCAAGAGGCTTCTGCCGCGCACGAAGAGGACCGTGCGGAATAAAAAGCCCCAACTTCGGTCGTTTTGTATGTCTACGACGAAGAAACGAAAAACTTCATCGAGGGAAGTTTCCGTCATGGATCTGCAGTGATTCGCAGCGTTAATTAAATGAAAGTTTACACTTCTGTTGTGGTTAGATTAGTGCACTGACGAAGAGTGGGAGATTTGTGAACAAGCGACGGTGGTATTAGTATTTTGTCGGGCTAATAGTGTGGCGACAGGTCGGTGGTGGTTTGCCCCCCGTTTGGGATTCCCCCTAGAGGGAATACAAGGACGACTTCGACAAAGTGTGGAGTTTCTTTGAACGACAGCATCTTCGATCCTCCACACACTTGGCTTTCTGCTGCCAAAGTTTCCCGGTGCTAAGGTGCAGCCACGCCGGGAGAAGGCGCAGAGCGACGGCCGCCACTCTCCGGCTAGCTCGCCTGCTGTTTCTGCTTCTCGGATCGAGGCCGTGTCGGCGAGGCGACAATGCTTGACATAATGTCTGAACACCAAGGTATGCTTATGGACTATCAACAAAACCCAACGAAAAATAGTCCTCACTTGATGTTAATCTGTTCATCGCGTAAAGCTGTCGTTTTGAGGACAGTAAGCTAAAGTGAGTTACGGCTAACGTCGTTGTTGCGTGTGTTGTAATAATGTCACAGCTCGATATTGACCGACAGTCGGACGTGTTGTCGTTAAACTACCATGAAAGTTCTTTAAAAGTGAAGACTGTGTGATTCCAACTTTTTGTACAGTGATTGTAGTTCATAGATTTGATGTTAACATTTATTACACAGTTCCCGTTAGCTTGCTAGTTAATTAACGCGCCGAACCACATAGCTTAATAGCTGCATAGCCACGGTTGCAAACCAACTCACCGAAGCCTCTCTAACGTGTCAGTTGAGATAACATGGCTTAAAAATATAATTCAGAAAAATGCCCCCCTTTTTTGGACATTAGCTCAAACTTCAAAGGTAGCCAGCACGACACGCCCGATTAACATTAGCCGATAGCACAAAGCTATCTCTGCTATGGAGCCTCCCACTACTGTATCAAGAAAGCTACCTTGGTTTGCTAGCTGATCAAGAGGCTGTTAGCCACAAGACAACCCTTAAAAATATCAAATTAAGCCTTCGACCACGCAAAACTATCGTTGTAAAAGCTCAGTAAAATGAAGTTACTCTCTCTTGCCCGTTTACCGTTAACGCTACAAACTGCATAACATTCAGTTAGCTTCCCCTCTAAACGTCACCTAGCATTAGCATACACACAAAATGTACCAAAAGCATGGTGTCCAGCAAACAGACGCGTTTTTAGCAATCCAGTCAACTTTTCCTTATAAACTTGGCGTGAAAACAACGAACTCTTCTTCTAGAGTGATTTTTACACACCCACTAATTTTGTGAAGTTCAAGCAGTCACAAAGTGACACCGGTTGCGTTGTTTAAGGACGCAGAAGTTGTCTTGAAGATGTTAGTTGGTCTTTTTTTTTCTTTTTTTTCGCTCAATTGACCTTCAGTCAAATATGGACGTTAATTTAACGTAGCTTTTACAAACACACTGTTTTCAAATAAGACCAGCATGCGCTTCATCGTTTATAATCCCGATTAAGGTATTGAGCCGTGTTAGCAAGCTAATGCTAGCATTAGTCCACTCTCTCGGCAACGGAATGCTTTGTAATGTAGTGGCTGTTAAGCAGTTGAAAAGTGGTCACTTGTGACTTACAGACTTTTTTTTTTTCTTCAACAGATTCACTGTTAACGTGTAAAACGGAACCTCTGGTGAGTATTTTTATCATTTGAGCACTTTATTTGACTCAGCTGCCCTTTGTTGTGGAGGGCTGTGTAGGTTAGCTTCACTCTCTTAAACAAAGACATGTTTCCTGTAGCCCCCAGAGAAGAAGAAGAGGACTGTTGAAGACTTCAACAAGTTCTGCAGCTTTGTCCTGGCTTATGCCGGTTACATCCCCAGTCCAAAAGAGGTGAGCTGTTGCTTTTTTTTCTCTCCCCCCCCCATTTTCTTTTTAACATATCATATTAGATGTAGTGACTACTTTGCAGTTTTGACAGAAGATGTTTTTGTCTGCTTTTATAGGAAAGCTCGTGGTCCCCAACATCATCCAGCTCTGCACACAGTTCGGGGTTGTCAGCAGATGGTGGAGGTGGAGGGAGCAGCTCCAATGGCAATGCCTGGGCAGATGGGGGCTCCGACATCCACACCATCCATACATTTGTCCGCAAAGCTCGAGCAAATAAGGGCAAAAGTATTCGGCGCATGCACTCTGACAGCACCCTGCTGGATAAGATGCAGCTTAAAGACTCTCTTTATGAGACCCAGGCCAGCACTAAGGGAGAGCGCAAGAAGGACAAAAAACTGAAAAAGCTATCACTGGATTCTGCCATGGGAGCAGCAGATAGTGGCAGCAGCGAGGGTGAGAAAAGAGCCCGCATCAAACGCAGCAAGAACTCAAAACAGCCCAAAGCTAAGAAGCTCAAGAGTTCAGCTCCTCAAAGCGAGACTGACTCCGAGGCACGGAATACGCACTCCGAGGTACGAGCTGGCAGGGAGGAGCTGCCGGGGCACGGGGGCTCCTCTTCGAGCATGCAGAGCATGGGGAAGGTGCAGCCAGACGAATCCATCAGGGAAGCAGAAATGAGCTCCAGTGAGGGTGAGACATGGATCGCTGATGAAGACATTATGGTGGAATCGGGTAAGACACTGTAATTTTGACCTTTTGTCTGTTATTTACTTGGTGGTTGCTTACTTTGAACCAACTCACAACCATAATCCCCCTGTAACTCTGGTCTGTTTATCCACACAGGGGATGATTCATGGGACTTGATCACCTGTTACTGCGGGAAGCCATTCGCGGGACGGCCGATGATCGAGTGCAACCAGTGCGGCATATGGGTGCACTTGTCATGCGCAAAGATCAAGAAGTCAAACGTTCCCGACATCTTTTACTGCCACAAGTGCAGGGACTTGAGGCGGTCGGGACACAAAAAAGACACTTAAAGCTGAGCAGGACTGGAGAGGAAAAGGAGCGTTTGATCTGTTTTTGCTGTCGTCTGACACTTAACTTTCTTTGATGCCTACAGCCAAAACAGCCTAAACTATCACCTGGAGGGCAACTGTAAAGTCGGTTTGTTGGATTTCTTTCGACAATCACAACCATTCTTATTTATCCCTCACGTCTAGTTTTCGTTCCCCCTTTTGCTACTGTGAAGAACTGGGAAAAAAAAGGCAATATTGACAGTTCTTAATTGACGTCAGCATTGATTGGCTTTAGTATTACAGTTCTGGTGATGTGCATATACTTTTTTTTTTTTTCTCTCTCAATAGTTCTCATATTGACTGAAGGTCCACTTTTGACTTGTAAATTATTTCTTGCGCATATTGACAAATTAGTGAAAACCTTCTCCTTTGGTCTCCGGAGTACCACCCTGAGCTTGGTCCAATCATTCCCAACCTTAAATCAATACAACACATGCAGAGTTGGGGAGAGGGAAGCCCAGCTTACATTGTCAGTTAAGAGGTGGATAATGTCACTCCTGTTATTACTTTATACGCACGTCATAATGCTAGACGGGCAGTTCGTTTTGGTTTTGATCGTACTCTGGTAGTTTGTGTTCAGCTTTTTCTTGGGTTGTCTTTAAGCCTCCTGAAATAAGAAGTTTCAATTCATTGACTCGGATAAGATTTATCACTTTGCATCTTCATATGCATCTAGTTGTACTCAAACTATCCTTTCAGCAGTGCACTTTTAAAACCTAAATACACCCCCGCTTTTTTTTTTTTTTTTTTTTTTTGAAAACCGGACTTGGTCATGTGCATTCATGACAGCGTGCTTAGTATTTCTCACAGTCCGGCTTATTAATCAGTTAGCCATTAACCGTGAGTCAGTTTTTACTTATGTGTTTGTTTTTTGTATTTAAATCATCTGATATCGGGGCGGGGGGAACGTTGCTGTAAGACGACTGGTTTGTTGCCGTGCTTTACGATGTCAAAGTAGCTCTGAGGCGCGTTTATGAATGGTTGTTTAAAAAAAATATATATATATATATATGTATTTTTTATTTCTAGGCTTTCTGAGGAAGGGGGTGATTAGAGATGCACCCCGCATCAGAAAAAGGACATATGATTGTCTCACATCGAGAACAAAGTTGTAGTGTACAGAAAACAAGTTGAGGCTGTCTAGGTTGTCATTTTGTTTATGTTGTTTGGTTTTACCATGTGCGTTTTTTCTTTTGTTCGTGGGAGAGTCATCGTAAGTCTCCAGTAGCAGTTGCATTCTCCGTACAACTTAAAATTCTGTGTACATATCCTGTTCTTTGACAACTGTACATATGTGAAAGTGAAGAGAGAATACTCAAGCAAATTCTATATTTTCTGCAGTCTGATATTGTTTTGGTTTTTTTTCCTTTAATTGTAGCTTGAAAAATAAAAGTCTTTGGGAACATGCTGGTTGAGTTTTTTTAATTTTCTTTAATAAAATGACACACAAAAAACAAACAGTTACATATCACATTTTGTTAGGTGTTGGCACACAACAGTGTTTGTCAGGTTTTGTCTTCTACCAGCAGAGGGCGACAGCTGGCAGGAATCTCACTCGTTAGTATGGCACAGATACTGAATAAATGCCAAGTTATACAAAAATTCATGCGTGATATTTAGTAGGCTTTCTAGTTCTGATAATCTTCCCTGGGGAGGTCTGGTTCATCCTGCAAAACAAATATATAAATGCTCAGTTCTTCATATTAGACAAGTGCAAGGTTTTTAAATTATTAATGCTGAAGCATTGTTGTAGGGGCTAGAAATGGCTACCAGTGTCACAGAAAACTTACACAAGCCATGAAAGATGATAACTGCATATGCAAATAGGCCATTCAAGCAATAATGACTTCAATGACTCAAGCACATGCACACATACATATATGTATTTATGTATATTTTAAACTATTAGATATTTGTTCATAGAATACAAGTTTAGGAATAGATTGCTTTCTTTGCACTGAATGGGACAGCATATAGTTCTGTTTGCATATTTTTTACTTTGCAGTCTGCTAAAAATAATCTGAATAATAACTTCTGTTTAAAGCTAAAGCCATCGATGTTTCAGGCCCACATGTATACTTTATGTATCAACAGTGCGAGTGTGTTGAGCTTGTGGCATTTAAATGTCGCTGCGATGCAGGTTATTTGGTGGGAAAATGGGGATAAGTGTCATTTGCCGCTCACCATTCGGGTTCTGAAGCTGGATATTTGAAAGCCGCCGATGGGGTCCAGAGGAGCGACCTTCCTCCTGTAGAGAGGAAGGCAGTCAGAATTCAACACAACATCAGGGAATCAAATACGTGCAAGCATCAAATCAAAAGACATCATTTGGTTCTGGACTGATCATTTGATCTTCTCATTTTTACATCAGAATTACATGTATTTTGGCCAAGAGCTAAAAATCTTCAAAAGCGTTAAGATATTCATCTTCATCTACTTGACTCCAAATTTACAAGTGTCCTTTGTTGTAAATTACATCATAGGATTAATACATCTAACAATCATCCCCATAAATCATAACTTGTCAGTTTATATAAGCTGCATAAGCACATAGTTGCTGTATTTACAGCTAATTTGCACTATTTACACCTTTTCTCTATCACGTGTGGCTGTATAACCAACTGTTCGACAATATCTAGAGCCATTTGTCCTAACCTCTTCTCATTGGCTTTCCGGTTATGCTGGTGCTGGTTCGGGTGCTGCCGCTGGGCGGGAAGGTGTTCTGTCGGGGCGATGAAAGTCTCTGACTGAAAGGAGCCATTGTCTACATCTCCCACCATCCCCCCTGCGTCACCCACAGAGAGGTCGCTCATGTCCAAGTGATCGAACAGGTGGGAAAAGACTTCTTGGTCCATTAAGGTGTCCTCCTGAGGACGTAATCAGATCATTCAATAAGATGGAAAAGGATTAAATGCCAGTAGCTGTTTAAATTGCTTGTCCGAAAGTGGTAATAAATTTAATGTCTGTTAATAAAAAAAACAAAAAGGGCTTACCCTCTTGTTTCTGGATCTGCTTGGTATGACAGCAGCAGATATCTCCTCCAGCAGCAGGTAAAGAGCCAGGAAGGGCAGCATCCATCTAGAGCCAAGCATCTGCACAGCGCAAAAGAGAGATTGTGAGTCTTGATTCCCTGTAAGGGTGCAGTCACACAACAAAATGAATCTGAAAACAAACCCTTTGCTCACCTTAAAATCTCTGGTTTTCTCTTTGGATTTCGACTCTAAGCTGTCTCGGGTCCCTCTCTGCTGACCAGTGTGGAGAGGAGGGTATTTGTAGCCATGCTTCCAGGGTGGGTTTATATTTTGGGACTATTATGGGGCTGTTTAGGCTAAGTGTGTGTATGTGTGTGTGTGAGAGAGACTATGTGACTTCAGACATGCCAATTAAACCTGCCGCCTCGCTTCCTTAACATCATTATTGTCAATCATTATTGTCAAAACCTTAAGAGATTTTAGGTTCAGACAACATGCCCTGACACACTTACATACAGCTACACACACACATGGCTTCGGCCCCACCACGCCCTCCTCCGCTTTCATTATTGCTGCTGCGGACAGATGAGAGTATGATAAGACCACTTAGTTTACAAGCTCGCCCGGAGTAATGCATACCCTCAGGCTTTACATCCTCCCATGTCATTTATGCAGGCATGAAGCTGAGAAGCATGAGTGAAAACAACATCTTTATACTCTTTACACTGTATCACATCGAATGCTCGTCAGCCCGGTTTTTACAAAAGCAGAGATTTAGGTGGAGTTATGAACCGTGAAGTGATCTGCAAATGCAAGCATGTCGATTTCTTTAGGATAAGATAGCTTAACATAAGATAACACATACTTTATTTACTACTATGTCACGGCTGTCACAGAAGAAAATAGCTCAAAAAACAAAATTACACTAAACAAGGAGCTCAGTTAAGACAAAAAAGCGAAAAGCTCAGAATCTCCGTGTGATACAATGAAGAGCTTAAATGTAAAATCAATGCAGGTATCGTGGTATGAGGTAGTAATCTGTCCTTGTGGCAGTGGAGCTCAAACAGGTGTTAGACAAAGTCTTCAGCTGCATGTGCGTTAAGTGGAGCAGAGGCTGGTCATGATCCAAAACCACTGACCACAGCTGGAGTCATTTGAATGTCCTCCATGTCATCTCTCACTGAATTAAGCAAGGGCTTCCTTGAAAAGGAAAAAGTCATTTGGGTGGCATCATATGTTCCTCCTAAACCTGCACATATTGTTCAGCATTAGTGGTGCCTTCACAGATGTGCCATGTGCACTGATGTACCGCCATACCATTGCAGATGCTGTATTTTGAGCATACAGCATCTGTGAATGTTTGAAAAACAACAACACAATTTTTTACTCACCATTTTAAAAGACAACTTTTCCACCTCGCCTTAAAGGAACTCAGGCGCAGAGAAGACACTGCTGTTTGTGGAGACTGTTTTAACATTTGTGTGTAAAGCAACTATATTCTTTGAACATGGTATTCAGAGGTGCTCCTAAGCTCGTGCAGTGAATTCAGCTACAGACATCGAAAACTCAGCTTATGTTATTTCAGCTGCATTATTCTGTCAGGTTTCTATAGACTTCATTTTCTTCAAACAAGTTCCTTTATGCAGCCTATAGTAATCAGACTTCAGCATACAGGGAACTTATTTTGAAAGAGTTGAAAGATTAAAAGACTTTTGCTGCACCGTGCAAACATCAGATGACAAATAGCATCTCAAATGAAGGTTCATTCTCTCTCTGATAAGAACAAAATATGCTGTGCTCCTTTTGCTCTCTGCTGGAAACCGCTATCTGTTTAGCATCCACCCAGTGAACACATAACTTGCTCAGTTATTACAGAAACCCATTTAAATGCATTTTGCAGTAAATAAGTGTATCTAGATTACCTAATCGATCATTAATAATTACTGACAAATGAAAACTGTAGTAAGTTTACTAATTAATTAAAGTATTTGTGTAAGTCAGCTTGTTTTTGTGTCGTAAATCCCCAAAGAAAAGGACCCATCCACAGCAATCAGAGATAGCATCAGTGTGTGTGGTTATCTAAAGCACTCTGCTTCGCCCGACTTCAAATCACCACCCCACTGAGACCACACAGACAGCCCTCTCCACCCGTCTTCCTCCCGCCGGCCTGCTGCAGAAAACAAAACACAGGAGAGACAGTGTAGCTGGGATGGATAGAGATTGGCAGAGGATCGGGTGGGGCCGGTGGGGGTCTACTCGAAGGGTATGCGCTTTGAGACACGTTTTCACTTTTCCTCTTTTTCCGCCCTGTCCTAATTATTTCTATTTTGGGACACTGAGGCTCACCAAACATAGAGCCAGTGTTGATAGATCAGTCATGTATAAATAAGCCATGACAAGGCTGGCAGCATGTCAGCACGGGCAGAGGCCAGATAGGCTGCACTGATTACCCCCATTATCGGGGACAGGCCTCATTAGGAGCCTCGAGCTGGGTGTGCGACTGTACGTGTCCTTTTGTTACAAAACAGGACCAAATGTCCTCCCGAAGATGTAAGCGTGAGGATCATCTTTCAGATGTTAGGACATTTTGTTGGCTCTCGTGTTTAAGAGGTTACAGGTTTCAGTAGAGAGGATTGGTTAGAGGCTAAAGGCTAGGATTAAGCCAAACAAATGCTCCTGCGTCTTCGGTTTTTAAAGATGTGCTACGATACGACTATTTGCACTTGATCTGAGCCTGTTTTTTCATTTTGAGACTGAGAGGAGAGTAGTGATGCCTAGGCAAATTTAATCATGTTTAATAGCATAATGTTTATTGAGTGTTACTGATTTTCTATTCTCAAAAAATAAAAAAAATCAATCAATCAATAAAGCAAATAAACCAGATCACATAAACCACAATGCACACAGTAAAATTTGCACACACAAAATTGTCATTGTGTGTTTTTCTATCCAGTGCATTGGCAGTGTGTTTGGGATCATTATCATGCTGAATAATGAACTTGTCGCCAATCAAACTCCTTGGAAATGGTACTGCATGGTCAACCAAAATCTGATGGCACTCTTCTACCTCCATAATTCTATTAATTTATACAAGATCTCCAACACCACTGGCTGAAACGCAGCCCTAAAGCATGACAGGTACAAGAACTGGGTTGGAAATGAGTGAAAAAGCAACCAATGAGCAAAGAAAAATCTCCAGAAAGCCTGGAAACTATTGCTCATGACCACTTTTAAAAAGAAAAATTAGTGGTCTTCTATGTCTGGCTCATTGGTAGCAAAATACTAGAAATAAGTGGAGACTTCACAATTTTGCACAGTACAGTGATTGGTAGTATGTGTCCTGTGTATGGCCCTCTCTCTCTCTCTAACTGTGTGTATGAGCTGACACACTCCGCCCGCTTTTTGCCCTATAAGTATCAGGCATTGCAGCAGGTCCCAAATATAGACTCGCAGAGACGATCCTCACTCACAAAAAATATTAATGAGAAAAAAAAAAAAAAAAAAAAAAAAAAAAAAAAAAAAAAAAAAAAAAAATATATATATATATATATATATATATATATATATATATATATATATATATATATATATATATATATCTGTATTTTTCTCCGATTGAATCTGCATTGAAATGCAATGTAAGTTCAGCTATTTGTGTTTGTGAGAGATGAGCAGAAATATCAAAATGAGCAACGTATGTCAAAGACATATGAGTTTACCGTGAGCTAGCACAAAGTGAGGCAGCCAAAACAAACCACACTGAGCTGCTGATGGGAGCCATTTCTCTTTCTACTTTTATACAAACTACTCATATGTTTATTTTTGGCCTGTTCATTTTTTTTAGGACACTTTAGTTGCCCCATAAAGTCCAACGTTTTGCATCAGCTTATATATAGCAGCAGCAGTACAAGATCTTACCAATGTAAAATTGGTGTTTACCCATTACTGAATCTTAGAATTAATCTTAATTTAATAATTTAACTGAAAGTTTCCATTCTGCTTATATAAGTATGACTATTTTGATTTTTGGTTCAAGTAGCCTACATTTTACTACTAATCCTTCCTTGCTTCTATGAATACTCGAATTTCCCCTTACGTAATGTTTTAAATTAAGTTATTGCTATTTTTTAACTTCTTGCTATGTTTGAAAAGCAAAAATATAGCATTGGAAAATGCTCAATAAGAAGAACAAGTTAGTTTTAAACATTATATTTTGAGTTTAAGTTTATTTTTACATTGTTCTTAAAGCTGGATTAATTGTACAGGGTGGGCCATTTATATGGATACACCGTAATAAAATAGGAATGGTTGGTGATATTTAAGTCCTGTTTGTGGCACATTAGTATACGTGAGGAGGTAAACTCTTGAAGATGGGTGGTGACCATGGTGGCCATTCAGAAGTCGGCCATCTTGGATACAACTTTTGTTTTTTCAATAGGAAGAGGGCCATGTGACACATCAAACTTATTGGTAATGTCACAGCATGGGAGATGGGTGGTCTCGTAGGGTGTCTTGCATTGAAATCTGCTGCAATGACCTGGTTATCTGCAATGACCCGGTTACTGCGTTTACCAGATATCAACACAATTTCGATCCGCTCCTCACGTGTTAACCTCTTCGACATGTCAATGGCTGTGAACAAAGAGAAACTTGTAAATAACTCATGAAAGAATAAAGTTACGTTGAAACCAAGCACACCATTTTTTTTCTTGTGACATTATGTACATATATGTACTGTGTATTTACTGTAGTGTCTGGGTTTCCTGAGGAGGAGGAGCCGGAGAAGGTGGCTGTGATTTCTGGCATTTTGGCGCCCCCTGGTGGTCGGAGCTGCCCCAGTGTTTCACAGATCGCTCCGCTCCTTCTCGTCTTCCTCCCGCATCTGCAGCGAGCGATAACAAGTTTAGACGTCCCTGGTGACGCCGGTCTCCTCTTCCCGCCCAGTGCACAAAAGCCCTCATCTCAGTGACCCACCAAAGCCTTAGCCCATGTAAAATCCCGGAAAGGGGGGAGGAGACTAGGAAGAAGTGGAGGGAGGCGTACAGCACAGCTGCAGCTAACAGGTTAAAGGAAGAGCACAGCAAGCTTCTGCTTTCCCACCACTTTCTTTCCATTTCTTGTCGCTGGATCTTCAGGGAAAACAGCCACTGAGGTGAGATATTTTTGTGTGAGTGTGTGCTGTTCCTCACCATATTTTAGCTCGAGTGTTTTTTTCTTCTTCTTTCTTTTACTACGACATAAAGACTGCTCACGAGGAAGGAGATGCTCGCGACCTTTACTTTAAGAAGCTGTAGGTGTTTTTCTCTTTAATAAGCTCTCATGGGAACATGAGAGGGAACTTTAATGACGTCTAAAGGGGCAAAAAAAAAAAAAAAGCTTAATGCTGACATTTAGTGGCAGTTAGCTGCCAGTCTTGGGCTGACACGGGGCACACCCACTCCTTTTATTTTTATGATTTAGGTCTGAAATACTGTGCATCAGGGACAAAAGGGCCACGACTTTGAACCCAACATTGTCAGGATTGTTTTGGACCTCTGGTCTGTGTCTGGATATTATCCGTGAAGCTTTGTGTCGGGATGCCACATAGGGCACATTTACACACAACCTCGAGTCGCTCGCCTTGAACGCATGACCGATTGAAGTTAAAAATTCACGTTTGTGTTATTGTCGCTCTCTGCGCACCCTCCTCCAGTCCTGCTGGTTTCTATTACACCCACCCCTCCCCTTTTTTTCTCTTCTTCCCTTTATCCTTTCAGTTTCCCATAGAAACCGTGCGGGAAGTGTGACCTTATTTTTCTTCCTCCGCCCAGAAAAGCTCTGCACCATGTCTGCTCCTGGTAAGTGCCTAGATTTCACATTTATGCTGACTTTTGTTTTCAGTTTTTTCTTTGGACGAAAATATGAAGACGTAAGAGTGTTTTAAAAACGTGAGCAGTGTGGCGTACTTTAATAGTTTTAACACTTTGCTTCCATTACGTCACGCTTTGTAAAATGCTAGAAGTTTTCTCACACTTGCCCCGTTAGCTTTCCACTAAACCCAACAGCCTGAATAATGAGCACACTGTCCAGCCCACACAGTAGACTTCTGAAGGTGGGGGACGTTTTTTATTTTTTCTTCCCCAAGAAATTCCAGGAATACTTTCTTGAAAACACGTCAGAGTCTTTGGCCCAGCAGACTTCTCTCACTGAGTGGAAAAGGTGAAAGGTGCTATTGTTTGTGTATGCCAGCGCAGTGGATGCACCCACACTTTTTTCTGTTTTTTTTCTTTTTTTTTTCTTTTCTATTAAATGTGAAGTAAAGAGAGGGATGTTGAGCAAAGGCAGACGACTAGCTTCACACTGTCTAACTTCCTTTTTAAACTTTCATTACACACAAATGTAGTCCACAAGGCTTTATTACATTCATCAGCCTTTGCCAGCAGACTCGTGACTAAATGGGCTTTTCCAGTCACCCGGTCTTGTTCGTTGTGGTTGTAACGACTCAAAAGAAAGTAGTGCTCCACTCATGAAAGTAAATCTTTTTGGAATTTTTTGGCATTCAGACAACAATTCTAATGCCGAGACAGGAGGGGGGGAAAAAAACAACACAAAACGTTGTCAGCTTTGTATTTATCCTTACTGCTGAGTGGGAATATCAAGTGCAAACTGATTGAAAACATCATTTTATAGTTTACATGTATTCCTCACTGGTGACTGAGCCTGACCTGCACATAGGTGGTAAAGCAGTGAGGGGAGCATAAATAGAGCAGGGACAGAATCTGCATCGGTGATGGCGTCACTTCACTAGAAGGATCCTCCCGGATCCAACCAGAGATCTTTTGCTTGTTAGGTGAATATGTAAACCAATACTAGTCATAATATTAAGTAAACATGGGGGGGAGAATCCTTCCTCTTTCCCAGGCAAAGTACTAGCTGTCATGTCCACCTCGTTTTTGAGTGTCTTTCTCTGGACAGGGTTTAATTAATAATTTGATGGAGGAATAATTTCAGGAATGCTTTTCTGAGTAGTTTCTCGCTTCTGGTTGTCCATCCCTGCCCCTGCCCAGTGCTTGTAGTGCTGTGGAGACACTCCGAGGGAGGATCTGCTTAGCTGAGCTCATGGTGCATTTTCACCCTTCCATAGGAGTCCATGCTCACTCACAAGAGGAAGTAAAATTTTTCTAGATGAGACTGTGGAAAGATCATCAGGCACTCCTGCAGCTGCCTTCCTCTCACAATCTTTTACTTGGTCGCGCGTGTGTGTGTGTGTGGGGGGGGGAACCACAGGCCAGTGACCTTTAGAAAAGTTAGACTCATGTGCTTCAGGTAATTGCACGATGTGAATAAAAACCAGTTTGGCCAGTCTTGAGACCAAAATCCCTTATTGACATCCCATTCCATTTAAATGTGTATAGACCTTTTTGTTTAGTTTTTTTTTCCATTACCAGTATACTCGCTGCGATTCACATCGAAAAGCACATCTGTAAAGAACATACAGTGCAGAAAAGCAGCTCAGATATAACATTCAGAGAGAAACCCAACGGGCATGTGGACGCTCTCGTCAGCAAAAACAAGCTGATCTAAATTTGATCTTTCTAAATTCTTTCTTAATTATGTCCTGACTGCTGTTAGAAAACGGCACAGCACACATACTTTCACATGACGGTCTGTCAGCAGGTGTGACTCAGGAGGCTCGTCACGTCATTTGTGTTAAGGCAGTGACTTTATGGTTGATGCTTCCTGGTAGTAAAGTGAGCCATTAAGTAACCAATAATTTCTCTACGAGCAAAAATGTCTTCAGCTTCCTTTGTCTTTTCTTCCTTGGGCAGTTCACAACTTTCCCCAAATGAATATCTGGTAAAGGTAAATTTTGTTTTTTGGGGGTCCCGTCATAAACTAGAGCTGTTAACCAAAGTCAGTTTGTCATTTATATTTCTATATAGATTTATATATTTAAAATAAGCAGAAAACCCTCATATTGGAAAAGACTACAAACACGGGAAAGCGAGATTACAAAGCTGTGTTGACCTTAAAATGAGTTTTCTGTGTGTCTCATTAATGCATGAGGAGCCCCACTTTGATCCCAGGTGGAGACACACATCTCCTGGTGTAGTAAAAAAAATAAATCTGTCACACTGAAATATGTGGAGCTACCCTTTGTCAATAAGGGTAGCTCAATAATCTTTGCTGTGCACGTAACATGGTCAGAAGCAGGTTATATATTCAGTTTTGGTTTAAAATGGGCTGGAAGTGGCACGTTTTTACTGATTCTTTTATTTACAGCACGTTGTAAGCGCGATACAGATTCTCTGCTGGCTACTATGTTTTGCAAGAGCAGCTTGTAAAGCCGTATCTTGGAAAGATCAGGAATGAAGCGCAACAGTAAAGTTACAGCAGCTCACACTGAGCTTTGCAGTGTCAGAAAATCTATAAAAATGATTTGAGATCAGATTCTAATGTGTTGCTAAGTCTGTTTTACATGCCTCCACATGTCTTTTATTAATATATGGGATGTTAATGTTTATTATTAGTTAAACGTGTAGCTGTCGTGTTAGGGGGGGAAAAAACTAGAGCACCATGCAGTGTTTCAATAATTTTCTCAAATTAAAATGTTAATTTTTACTGCTCTGTTTACTAAATCGCAAAATCAACAAGTTTCTGCAGCTTTAATCTCTTTTGTTTGTAACAGTGGTGAGTTTCACCATTAGGTTTTTATTATCATCGCCATTTATCATCATCATTTGATAATGTCTCTGATTGGTGTAGGAGACACTCACAGGGAGGCAGAAAGCCCGGCTTAATAGAGGAAGTTGATAACCATCATCGTGATATTGGGGTTTCAGGTCAGGCCGGCTTACACACAGTTCTCAGGGCTAAAGGAAACCGTCCTCAGTACAAGTACAAACGACCACCACGATGCATTAGACTTGCACTATTAAAATTTTCTACATTTTCTGCCTCTCCACCACACCAGATTTCTTTTTTTTTTTTTATCTTGTCTGTTAAAATCATAGCAGCAGTCCTATGATAGTGAAACTATTAACATTTTTTTTAACCTTTATTCTTGGAAGCAGGATAAGGGAAGGTGGTTAATAAAATTCGGCATTGATTTTCCATTATCTCAGACATCTCACATTTTACATTTTACAGTGGGGCTTAAATGCTGTGTTCTAAACGAGGTCTGTACTATGGAACGAGATATGCGTGCGTGTGTGCACGACTGTAGTAGTGAGGGGAAATGTGTCTTTTTACACACCAAAGACTGATCGGTCAATGCTGTATAATTTTGACCAACGTTGTTGTCGTTATGAAGTGAGAATGATCACATTTTTGCATTTTAAACAAGGACATTACAAAACCATTCGACTCAGTTTAGACGTTATTGGCATAACATATGATCATAAGGACAGCTGTGTTCCAGTGGACCTTGCAGTTTATCTGATGACAGCGTTTTACACATTCATAAAAGTAAGCAATCCCCAGTTAGTCATTGTTATGAATCTTGTGAAAGTGAGTCCCATAGCACACAACAGAGGTGCAACTGGCCCTGTGTAGGGTCTTATGGCCCCTCGTGGCATTCTCCAGGGCAGCCACAGAGTAGGCTGGCTGCTAGCCTCTTGAGACTAGTGTGCACTTATGGTTCTGTTGATTTAACGCAACAGCTGCTTTAAATAAGATGCAAACACTGTGAGAGACAAAGTTACATATCCCTGTGCTGACGGCGTCCGCGCTTCCTATCTGAAATCCTCACTTAATGTAAGAATCTTCAGTTCCTGTCCAAAAGATCCCCAAATCTTAGTTTTCACATCACATATTCAGTTTTTCCACCATGGAAACACTGACAATTGGTTTCCAACATATCATGGATCCAGTTTTTCCAGTATAGGTAGGTCATTACTGTTGTGTTGCAATCACCGGCCAATTAGCTCTGCCCTGTCTACTAAAAAAAAAAAAAAAAAGAAAGGGCAGATGATTCACAGCGTGCGCACACACGCACTCACACTCAGCAGAGTAGCTGCTTCTAGCGAGACACTCGGCGATCACTGCTCTCAGCTTCTCTCTCTGCTCTGACTGGAAGGTAAGAACCTGGAGACGACCAGCCGTGGTCAACGCAGCTGGTCTATAATCCTAAACAGCAGCTTCAGGCTTTTGACTCTTATATCATTTTTATGTGTGTATATTTATATTATCATTCATACTCAGGGTTGATGGTGTCTTTTAGTTTTTTGTGCCCTATCTTACATATTACAGCTTTATTTATTTTCCTTGTATTCTCTGGTTGTTTTATGGTAAAATTGAGCTCTACTTTCTAAAGTTTGACTGTCATAGTTTGTACAGCAACAACTGAGCTCATGAATTCAAATTCAATCAAATCAGACTGTCGGTATATCTGAACAGGTTTTGATTGTGTCTATTTTTTTCCCCCTTCCAGTTTACCCAGGCGCTCCAAACCAGCCACCCTATCCCATGTCTCAACCCGGCGGAGCACCGTATCCAGTTCCTCCTGGATATGGAGATCCCAGTCAAGCCCCTGCACCGGGCTTCAACATGGGCTATTCAGGACAACCTGCGGTCATGTACCAGCCAGCACCCATAGGGCCAGCTCCAGGCCCTGAATACGGTGGCCCACCAGGGGGGATTTCACCAGCTCCTGGAGGTCCAGCAGTCCCCGTTGGTGTCCCACCTGGACTTGAGTACCTCACACAGGTAGGGCAGAGAAAGGTTAAACCAGTGCAGTTTTTTGTTGTTTTGTTTTATATGCTGTCCTGTTCAGCAGCTTTTGGAGTCACAATTATGATCTGAATGCACTCTTGTGCCAAACATATTTTGCTTTTCCAAGATGAGCTCTGAAAATTCACTGTAGGCTCCACTTGTTCACGTCTTTCTTTTATCTATCTAGTCATTCGTTCCTATTAGTGTTATATCAGGCATTACATTGTATGTTTAGTATTACAATATCCAAGCTGACAGGCAGATTAAAAAAAAAGAAAAGTCAGTGCAGTCAGGTGATTTTGAGAGCTACGATTGGTTCCACTGTCTTCTTAAATGTCACAAAAATTTTTTTTGTCACGAACTCTTAAGTAAACTTTCTAACAATGACCGATGACTCAGTTAATCCTTCCATTTTACTTGGAATTTGTATGAACTTGAAAAATTGCTGGCCATGTGCGTAACCCGACACAGTTCCTGGATCTGTTGCATGCCAAGCAGTAAGAGAAAAGGTCACATGTTTAAGACTGTAGTGGGTAAAAGTAGTGTTTTATAGTTCTGTTGGCTCACCATTGAAATACTTGCAGTTTGCTGCACTTTTTGGTGATCATTAATCTCAACTAGGATTTGTGACACTAAAGTCAGTTTCCTTTTTAAAACAATATGTGAGGTCATACGTGCTTTTAATTGTTTTTAGAAGGAAGAGACTTTCAGATTGCAGGATGTGCCACAGAGTTGCTTTATTTTCAGTTTGCTTTCTCTCCTTCGGTTTTAGATTGACCAGATCCTGATCCATCAGAAAGTCGAACTCCTGGAAGGTGAGGCGTGCATCTTGTTGAACACAGAATATTTAATCCTTCAGCAGCTCATAAGCAGCAGTGTGTGAGGCTTAAAGCCTCTCAAGATGAAAACGAATGGAAGAAAAATGCCCTTGAAATTCCTTACTTATTGTTACTTCATTGCTCACCGTTTTCCCTTCTCTTTTCCCAACCACGCCTAGCATTCATCGGTTTTGAGACAAACAACCAGTATGAAATCAAAAACAGTCTGGGTCAAAAGATCTACAAGGCCAAAGAGAAGAATGACTGCTGCACCAGGAACTGTTGCGGCTCTCTGCGCAGCTTCGACATGAAAATAAAGGACAACATGGACAGGGAGGTTATCCGTCTCATCAGGCCTTTCCGCTGCGTCTCCTGCTGGTGTCCCTGCTGCTTGCAAGAGGTCAGTCCACTCTAATGTTTCTGTGTTTGAGTAGAAGTGACTTGGCTAGTGTTGAAAGAGGTTAATGGAGTCATATTGCATTCATTTACCACACCTAGACCAATATTGTTCCCGGTCAAAAGCATTTTTGGTGTGAAATCTGAGTACTCATCCATCATATCTGGATTATTGTATTTGATCTAGATGTGCTGGTTAATCTTTAGCTATAGCAAATATCTGAAGAAACTCAAATAGGGAAGAATAAACTCTTTACTTTCTGTAGCACTCTGTTCACTTTCTGTAGCACTCTGTTCGTAGTTTATGTTAAGACATACCTAATCACTTTTTTTGATTAAATAAAGATAGATACAAAAGTTAGATCAGATAAAGGCAAATAAATCAAGACATTACAGTTTTATAAGGGGCAATGAATTGTTTTTAATGTAATGTAGAAATTAAAGGAAAAATCTGAAGATTTTAAGAGAAACGCGAGCTCTGTAGTTTATTTTGTGACACTTACACTTACAACAGCTCATCTCCTGTTCAGGATTTACTTCTATTCTTCAGGAATGTTTTTAGTGGAGCTGCTATACAAGTCTGATTTATTCGCCTGCCTCTGTTAACCCTGCTGGATTTAAAGTAGTTTTTAGGGTGGGAAGTGGGCTAATTTACTGCTGATTGGTCCAGGTGACCAAAGAAACTGCTCTGAGTTATCAGTGTGCTCTGTCCTGGAACCAACTGCATGCAGATTAATGTTCTCTGCATTGACAGTCGATTGGAGCTGCAGACCCTGCCTGTATCATTAGTGATAATTGATGTGAAATTGGAGTCAGTTTGACAAGGACACTGGTATTTGCTTTTTATGCACGTTTGAGTTTTATGGTGAAATGTACAGAGTGCACAGTGTAAGCAGTTAAAAGGAGGCTTCCAGTGAGCAGTCAATGCACTGTGGAACAGATGCAGACAGTTTAATTTCTTGAATTTCCCTCAGAACATCTGGTATCAGATGGTTATTTATCGGTTATTTAACACAACCTCTACAGATGTTATGAATGGGGATGCAATACATAAAGGCTGATACTGTTTGGTACCATGCTGTAAATATGCTTATTAAAGGTCTTGAATTCAACACAGGGAGACTGTGTGGACAGACTCGCTATGGCTTCTCTTGGAGATGATGTTAAAATAACTTTGTTATTAAGCACGAGCTCCCTGCTCTTGTGGCTCAGATCCAAATAACATGTAAAAAAGCTACTTATCAACACGTCTCTAACACATTTACAGCTTAAATTTAAATCACAAGGTTCTGGCATGGCCGGGCCAGAGTCAGTATCAGCAGGAAAAGCCACGTCCATTATGTCGTCCTTCACATTTCAAAAGCTGTCCAGAGGGTCAGATCTGAGTCTTTGCCAGGACAATTCTGGCCCCCAAGACATTTGAATTCACCATAGTCTAGTGCATGTTATAGTGCATGTAACAGACATTTGATACTGCTACTTACAGCCAGACTGGAAGAAAACCTTAGTCCTGTGTTTAAAGTAATAAATAATTGTTAGTCTTTTCTCATGTAAAATACAGAGGCCTATCAGTTCTTCGTTCTTCATAACAACCTGCAGCCTCACAGTGCCAGTGGTTCATACCTTTGCCTTTCCTCTCTTTGTCTTGAGTTACTGTTGCCGAGTGGTTGCTGCTGACCGGTGTTTCAGTGCCTTTGTGTGCCACTCTGCTCAGGCAGGGTTTTGTTAAGACCATGAATGGCCCTTTTGTCTGTCCAAACTATTTCCTAGACTCTCTGATCCTTTGCCATACGTCCACTGAGACCTTTTTCTCTTTGCCCTTGTGTAATCACATCGTTAGTGGTCTGTCTACAGAAAGTTCCCAATGGTACAAATCTAAGAAGATATCCAATCATACTGCAGCTCTCGGTTTAGTGCCCAGACAGGAACCATGTGAGATGCATTCCCTTTGTTTACATGGTTTAACAATCAAGCAGTCAGCCTCACTTATCATTCCTGCTGTCCAGCATGACACCGCGTGACGTTTTATTTATAGCTGTCAGTGTCCAGGAAAGAGAGCAAACGAAGCTCTGTGAAATAGTAGCTCTGCACAAAATTAGAAAGCTATGTGTCTAACTAACTATGTGACCAACAGATGGAGGTCCAGGCTCCACCTGGGACCACCATAGGGTACGTCAAACAGGACTGGCACCCTTTCCTGCCAAAGTTTTCCATCCAGGGAGCAAACAAGGAGACACTCATGAGACTGGAGGGGCCCTGCTTTGCCTGCAACTGCTGTGGAGATGTCAACTTTGAGGTGAGCTCAGAGGGTCGTTGTTTGTGGGGGGAAACCGAACTCTGAGTAAATTTCATCCATCAGCCAACAGTGATTTGTTACAGATCCACTCAGATAATCTAAACAGGACTGGTAACAGTCACAGAAATGTTGATGATGATTTTAATTAAGTCAAAGGAATAGTTGATAGTTTTGGAAAACACTTTCTATTCACTTTATTGTAGAGTTTAGTGAAAAGGTTGATACGACTCTTATCTGTCCATAAAATATGAGGGTACACCTCGAAGTCAGGCTACTATCCAGCCTGTGCAATGAAAAAATTAAATCTTCCTATTAGTCTCACTTCCTGGTTTCCCACATGACATCCTGCACACATTACTTGAGAATTGACATGATACAACTACTGGCTGCAAGTAGTTGTGATTAGACGCAGGGGAAATGCAATTGTAGGGAGGCTAAAGCAGCTTAAATAGCAGATCAGGTCAGCTGATCTGCCAGGATTGCAGCAGAGCCTGCTTTTTGTCATCTGTTTGCACAAAGGTTGTGCTTGAGATTTTCTTTATTACGTAATCTTCTTGTGTCTTGGTGAGCTTGCTTGTCAGTATTTTCTCCCACTCGTCAGTTACTTTTCCAACACTAAAGAGCATTCATGGAAACACATTTTTCCCATTAGTTTGACACCAAGTGAATGATCCTTAGTGCTGCTGGTGGTCAGATTGTGTTACCTTTCATAAGGACCAAAAAAGCTGTTTTATCTCCTGATAAGTGCATGTTAAGCTTTTATTTCTCAGCAAGAAGGCAAGAAATTTTTAAACAGCAGCAAGGCTGATGTTGTTTCCATTGTTTAAAGAAAGCGTGTGCGACAGGATTAACAACTTGTGATGAACGCTGGTATTATTTTTTTTTTTGCAGCTGAAGGGGAAAGATGGTGGCACACCCATTGGTCGCATCAGCAAGCAGTGGAGCGGCCTTTTGAAGGAAGTCTTCACTGACACAGATAATTTTGGCATCCAGTTCCCGCTGGACTTGGACGTGAAGATGAAAGCTGTGCTAATGGGCGCCTGCTTCCTCATCGTAAGTCCCCAATCTAGAAGAACATAGTTGATTTTGAAATATGTGGTGTGTTGTTGAATAAAATAATTCATTACTTTTAACGTTGCTTTGCAGGATTTCATGTTCTTTGAGAAAGTCGGAGAGGCCAACCAGCGCAGCAGTGTGTTTTCATAACAGAGGAAAGAGGAACCGTGGGGGGGCGGCCTATGATGAAGGTGTTTTCCTGTTATGTAACATTTGTAATTGTTTTGTTCATTTGTTACCAGTCCCATAATCCATTTATATACACATACAACTCATTGTGAGTGAATAAACTCTTGATTAGATTTAAAACTTCGAATCTCTCCAAAGTCAAAGACTGAAATTTTCAGTGTTTCTGTACATTCTGTAGATGTTTCACCTCTTTTTAAGCACATCACTGTATTCATAGCAAGCAATTTACGCTACCAAATTTAAACTTGGAAACAGGTGTGGACACGCATCCTTTTGAATGTGTTTTGCTGCACTTGTGTTCACATTTCATTTCTTTCTTCTTTTTTGTCACCATCAGTTTGTCTTTTATTGTTAGTAATTTTATGTGCTTGCTCGAGCTTTATAAAGATATAACAGTATATCTAGTAGAAGTACAATACTGTTTTGTAGAAGATGTATTCATTGCTTTGCCTTCATTTATCCAGTTAAATGGTGGCAGAGTCGATCTGTCAGTCCATTGCTTTGGTATGGTGATCATCATAATCTGTGTACAGATATTTTTTTTTAATTTAAAAGTTGGCTTTTGTTTATTACTTTGGTGTATGCTCTACCAAACCTATTACATTCCTTTGAGCCTCCGCTGTAGGCTGTATTTAGTGTTAATCAGCAAGTGTTGGCATGCAAAACACACTAAGATATGATGCTTGACATGGTAAGCCTCAAACCTGCCTTGGCTTCATTATATCAATGTCACTGTGAATATCTTAGCACAGGGGTGTCAAACTCAAATACACAGTGGGCCAAAATTCAAAACTGGAACAAAGTCGCAGGCTAACATTAATATTTATTGAGAAAAAAAAAAAAAAAAAAAAAAAAAAACTTCCTCCAGATATAAGAATGAATCTTTTCTTAATTTGGCCCGTGGGCCAGAGTTTGACACCTATGTCTTAGCATAAGCATTTGGCGCTAACCACTTGTGGACCACAGTTCCACTACACAGAGCCACTAGCACAGCTTTTAATCTTTTTGTCACTTATCAGAAGCCATATAGAAAACCTCGACATTAGCCACGGGAATCCCGCTCTGGTTGTTTAGCTCAGGGTGGCATCATGTGCAAATGTTAGCGTGTAAATACACTGAAGTATAATTGCAGATATGCTCATCATTAAACCTGCCTGACATTATTTTATCATCCATGTAAATAGTTTTCTCTTTAAGCTCAGTTTGGGCTAAATGCTAACTACAGCCAGGAGGTGCATCACCCTAAGTCTTTTTGTCATTAACTAAAGCTTATGGGAAACATTTAGCCACAGTAAACTGGCTGTTTAGCATTTAGCCCACATAAGGAAGTGACATCGTACTAGCATGTAGACATGCTAACTTAGATGGTTGAAATGGCAAGCATCTTAACTACTAAACAACCTGTTGTTAACATGTGCCACTGTTGAGGTTTTAGCATTTAGCCCAAAGCTCTACTGTGCCTACGTACAGACAGTACCTGCCTTGTCCTAATTGTGCAGTTAGTTGACTACCTTACAAAAAAGTCTGAACTAGTTAGCCGCTGTCACTTGTTTAGGGATGTGTTGCCTTTATTGGTGTGAAGTTGTGAATCACACATTTTTACCAAAGTGCACTCTTTCTATTCAGCAACATGTCTACAGCCATGGTGCATGATGCAAAGCTGTTGCACAGGCTTTACTCTAAATGATCCTGTGCTCCCTTTATGGAGTTTGGTGGTTGCCGGTGACACCTCACCATCCAGTTTCCTTCACATACCACTGTGTTTGAACATGTGCCTGCGTAATGACATAGGGGAGAGAGAAAATGCAGGCGGAGGGAAAAATTTAAAAGCAGATGTTGAGGTTAGTGAGCATTGATCTGGCCTCAGAATGGTTGGAAAACCCCACAGGCAAAGCTTGCATGAAACACTGTAGTTCCTAAGTCCCTGTAAAGAGTTGGTGCAGTTATGACTGCTGGTACAGAGAACTAGAGAGGAGACCAGAATCTTAACTGAATCAATTGACTTGTTTTTTCGTTTTGTTTTTTTTTGTTTTTTAATTTGGTTGCTTTGCTCTACAGTGTTTGATAGATGAGAGGTTAATGTTGCACTTCTGTGTTTAATAATCACTCTTGTTCTGGGCACGCCTCCAGCGTGAGACCTGGTTGCCACAAGTGCTTTCAAATCCAGCTAGCTGTTTGCCATCACCAACCAAATGTATTGTATGTGCATGCATAGATATATGTATATGCTGAGTGGCCAGTACTAACCAAAGCATGTACAGTTGATTTAAGTTGCGCACTCACAGTTTACTGTTCCTCTGGAAGCTTTTTTTTCTTTCTATCATATATGTACAGCTGGGAGGGGCTGCAACATGTTTCCTGTGTTTTTTTTTATCAAAAATGTTTTGTAACACTTTTCTTGTGATTGGACATTTTTACATATACAAGCAACGATGTATTTCTCAAATAAACAAATGCAACGATAAGCCTTTATTAAAAGCACAATCGTCTCTTGTTTTTCTGCCCACGTGATGCTGCAGGAAAATCTGGGGAAGGTGCTCTGTCGGCCTAAATGTGGACCATCTGGTTGCACTTGGAGAAAATGAGCTTTGGTTTAGTAGGGGAAATCTAGTCCCTCCTGCTCCGCCTCAAAACGAGCTCCATTCAAATCGTGCTTTTAGCCAATTTTATTTTTTTTAACTGTTGAATGGCATCCTCACTTCAGTCTGAACTTTCTGTACTATTTGCCTATTAACAGAAAGTTATTTATATCCATGCCGTTGTTCAGAAGCATGAGTGGAAGACAACAGCAGTGCTACTGGGTTAGATACAAAATCTTAGTGCTCCATCTCCTGGGAGCATGTGAGATGTTCATGTATAGTATTTCAGAACATGTCTGCACATGTCCACCCATCCCTCAAGAACACTGAGGCATGGCTTTGGAGTTTGTTTTCATACATGATCACCTAATATTTTACCTGCTATTGCTGTGCAAATATTTAAACCAGTTGTAGTGTGTCGGTGTACACAGGGTCAATCTTAGCAGGCAGTAGGACAAAGGTAAGAGCCTCTCTTAGAGAACTAAAGAGCCACAGAGCTGAGATCCTGTGTTCAGGCCACCAGAGATCAGTTTCTACTACAATATTTACAAATGTATTAAAACAGAAAACCTATGTGCAAAAGACGTGCTATTTAAAACCACATCATGTCATCTTTCTTCTAAGCTGTTTCAAGAATATTAGTCAGTTTTGTCTTCGCCCACCTTCAGTATATGTAAACATTATTACTTTTTTTTTTTTTTAATGCCTTTTTATATAGAGCATATATTGTTTTGATTTTCCTTGATGGCCATTTATATTTTACATGTATAAAATAGATTCCGATGGCTTATATTTTATCATTATCTTCAAAAAAACAGATAGGCAAGTGGGATTTTTTTTTTCTTTATTTGATGGTCTGACCTTTAGTTGCTGTTCAGCTCGCACTGGGTTCCAGTCATTTCATTGAAGTGCTTTATGAACCTCGTCCGTGGTCACGCCATGTACCGCCTCCATAACCTGAACAGAGAAATGAGAACAGCAGACAGTGAGCAGGAATACTGGAATTACTACCAACCAGACAAGCTGTCGTTTACATCAGTGTAAATATGGCCGCAATTTGTTCTTCTGTCTTTTATAGTGTTCAGTACATGTACAGGACAGAAGATGGATTTAGGCAGGGTGACATCATCTGTTGGTTTACGCTGTCACCATCTTGGTTGCTAAAAAGCTGATGTTGTGAGAAAGGCAGGTTGCAAAACCATTGCTCAATGGCAATGTGGGTAACCTGTGATTGAAAAAATTAGCCAATGAACGTGTGGCTTTATACCACAGATAATTCTCCGTTTTGAAATAGAATTTGACCAAGGCACCATTTTTATTCAATATGACTCTCAAATGACTTACTATGACTTACTGAGCCCATAAACTCAGGAGCAAAGTGTTTGCTCACAGGAAGCTGTGTCCCCATACCCTTCTATATGACTGGAACTCGTTTTGCAACCACAGCTACCATCTGTTGGCCTTCAGATAGAATGTAGATTTGAGACACTTCCACATTGCCTTCATTTTTTTTCCAAAGCGGAAGCTATGCCCATGTTTTATACTGTGTATGGTTCAGTAATAGCCAGAAAAGGGTTTCTGCACAACACATGATGTTACAGTGATGTTGACCTTTAATTTTTTTGGTCATAAAATGTTTTCTTTTTATAACGTAAGACATTTTTCAAGTGAGCACTTGTTTCCCTACAGGTGTTTCACAAAAACTGCATGAACAGGAGGTCTGACCTTCACTTTGGATCTAAATAATTTCAGTTTTATCACCATAAACACCTCCACCCCCCCCCCCCCCCCCCCCCCCCCCCAATTTTTGCACATGTCGAGGAGCGTGTCAGACTACATTTCACTGTGTGTTATACTTGTATAACTATGCATGTGACAAATAAAGAACCTTGAACCTTGATAAAGGCATAAAATCATGTTGATCAGTAGGAATCTCATCACTTGCCTGTGCAATGAGACCCTCTCTTGTGTTCCCGTTCTCTTATTCGCTCCTGATCTCTCTCCTGCTGTCAGAGTACTCATCCAGCTGGATGGCACCTGCTCCACTCCACAGTATTGAGGCACCACGCTCTACCCCCGACAACCTGCTGAGGCTGGGGTTGTGTCTGGTTTAGATTAGAGATGGACCGTTCCTAAATTACTGGATCGGATATCGGAGAAAAATAAAAAAAATGTAATCCGATCCATTAAATATCAAAAAAGCACCTCACAAAACTTGCGACACGGCGTAACTCTGCTCATAACCGTAGCACTTTGGAGCAGTGTGCTCACGTGATAGAGCAGCTGTGTGTATTTGTAGCCTCGCTACCAAACCTGCATTTCATCTCTGAGGAAGTTATCCCAGAGAGAAGTAAAGCAAGTGTGTAAGTTCATCTCTGAATGTTTGTAAAGCATTCCCATGTTAAGCTTAACAACCGATATATGGAGCGACTGCCTCTTCTCTCTCCCTCCCTCTCCTGCTGCTACTTCAGTCATGAAAGTAATTAATGATCAGTTTCATTTCTGTCTGTCTCTCTTCTTTGTTTTTGGCCCACTTTGCACCAGAAAGAGGAAACCAGCGGCTGAACAACAGCAGCACGTTTAAGCTTGATAAGCTGTTGTTAGAATTTATTTAATATTACTTTCTACTCCAGGATCTTTTTCTACGCAGCTGACGGCTGTAACTGTGCAGGGGCGGATCTAGCAAAATGTCTGCCATCTATAATCCAGTTTTGAGATCCCTTCCCAGACGCCTTAACGCCCACTCACATCCTGGGCCATCTGATCTCAGGAATTCGCATGATAAGGTGGGGCCAGGTTTCACAATGAACTCACCCGAAACTCTGGCTGACTGGGATCCACACCCAGTTTCACACCTTGGCTCAGGCGATTAGAGGATCATCAGGGGTCCTTTTGTCCCTCTGTGGGGGGTTTCTCCCACTAGGTTTATATCTGGGACTCTCCACCATTTGACCTTAGAACTGAAGAAGCTTCTCGGATGAGAGGTGAAACGTCTTCAAGCAACTTAAAGAAGTCCAGACGCTTTTCTTTGCAAGCTCCTTTGACTACGATGACCTGGATGACTGAGAACCTTCATAGACATATCTGAAGAGTACATAAATATCTGGTTTCAACTGTATATTTGATGATGTTGGTGTTTGGCTTGATTGTCAGCACAAAGAGGGAGAGAGAGGAACAGAGAGGGAGAGAGAGAATGAGGACAGAACAGAGATGGAACAAGAGCAGGTGAGACACACATGTTAGT